ATGTAAAGGTACAAATTTCCAATGATGAATGTCAATATATTGCATATCTAAAATACATCAATAAAATTAATTTTTAAAAAAGACAAAGTGCTTGCTGTTTTAAAAATCCTGAGTACACATGACAGGGTAGACACACCAACGTAAATATTAAAAGAAAACAAGATAACAAAGTGATGTGCCACATGAGAAAGACTTGTTATGTAGAAAAATTTCCTAGAATCTAATTTGGACGAGCTACTCAGGAAGGCTGCTTTGAGCAGGTAACATTTGTATTGAGACTTAAACATTAAGAACAAGCCAGTTATTTGTACAAAGATACATCACCTACATTCTGGCACATAAATGAACATAGAAGAATAAAGTAGTATTTTCAAAATATTTGGTAACTGAATTAATTATATGTATATGCTGTAAGATTTTTGAAAAAGCCTTCAAAGGTCACCCAAATGGAATTTTACTGCCATTTTATATCTTAGGTATTCTTAAAAGTTTTCAAATATTTTAAAACTTTATTTTAAATAAAGGCTGACAAAACACAATCTATGTAGGCTAAATTATCAATATAATTTTCCTTTTCATTACTATTGTGTTTTACTTTTTAATTCTATTTTAAGAAAATAATTATTTGTATAAATTTTTGAGTCTGAATGTGTTCTGTAGCCTTCAGTTTTTTAGTTCCTGAATTCATACTCTTCTATTTGATACAATTACTGCTGTTAACTAAATTTTAGCATCTCAAATTATTCAAAATGTGTTCATAAAAATAAGCTTCCTCAACAAAATAAAATATCTTGATATAAAATTTCATGGTTGTTGACTAAAAATTGAATATATGATTAACAGTTCTAGGTGTGTGCATATATGTGTGTGTAAGATAAGCATTCTACATTTTTATTTTTTATGATAAAGTAAGTATCAAGTACCCAGTTTCTCTTTCTGAGTGTACCTATCACTCATTTGAAATGTATTCTGTCAGTATTCGATGTCTTCAGTGTGTAAGTCACTTTCTAGGCACTAGAAGCACAACTGTGACCAAAACCTACCTTTGTGTATGTTTATGCCTCATCTTCTAAGTGAAATTCAACTTGAAGACATAAGATGATATGCTGTAATACTTTTGAGATACCTCTTGTGGTCTACTAGTGCAACTTGAATGTAGAATGTATGCAGTATACAAATTTGAAAGTATCCAAATTTGCAGTATCCAAAGAAATATTTCCCACTGTTAATTTTACTTAACATTTCTTTTAAAAGGTTTGAAATTTTTGGACTTCAGTTTTATGTTATATTGACTTTTGTTATCTGTCTTTTCTCATTTTCTTATTCTATCCATTCTTTTCTCTTGTAATACTCAACTCAATACGATATTAAATATAGGCTCTTGGGTGATACTGATGCCAGAGCAGCAAAAGCTGAAGAACAAAATAGTAAATATATAAACAATATCTTCACTTTTTTGAAATGTTTAATGTCTGAACATTCCATGCTTCCACTTGTAGCAGCTCTAACTTTATGGAGTAGTCATGAGTCATACTCTACTTTTCATTCATAAGTCTATCAATGAAGGCTATTCATTCACTAAACATTTTATGAATTCCTACTACATGCTGATTAGTAGAAATATAAGCATGTTGAGATACAGGCTTAAAAGAGCCAAGAAATTGATAAGTGATAAATACTGTGTTAGAGACAGAGTGGTCAGGGAAAATTTATGAAGAAGGCAATGCCTGCTAAGAGTATTTAATAGAAGGTAGAAGGTAAGCTAGAAAGAAAGGATTTTAGATAGAAAGGAGAGTATAAAGAAAAGCAAAAAACAGTCAACATTTTTTTCAAAAATGTGAAGTGTTAATGTGAAGAAATGAAGTTGGAGTCGGGCTCTAAAGGGTTTCTTGTGACATGTTAAGGAGTCTGAACTTTTTCCTGCAGAGCAAAGGAAGCCAAGGTCAAATTCTAAGAAAAGAGTAAAAATTAAATTTGAATATAATATAATCAATATAATAGCCCTCTTATGTGATGTATTTCAACTGATTGAGTTTAAAGACAGTGAGAAAGTTGTGAGTGTCCTTTCTAAGTTGAGGTAAAAATACTGAGTCTCTGAACTATGGCATTTGAACAGATGAGGGGAAAACTTGACATAATTCAGTGAATAAATGGTTGTAGGAATTAAGAAAATGGGAGATTTGTTTATGGATATAGATAAAAGTAAAATATGAATTAGTTTTGACTGAAGATCAATGTAAATCATAGTGCGGTAATAGAAAATAAAACACACAACACATAGAAATGTCTTGTTATCTTCATTTTATAATATGTTGGGAATTTTTTTTAATCACAGAGGAGTATTTCACACTTAAGTGTACATGCAATTTCTTAGGGTTTGTTTTTGTACTTGTTCTCATGGCTTTCTGCATTCCCTTGTGAGATTTTAAGTCTCAAATCTTAACTTTTCTCTGCCTCTTTGAATAAAGCTTTAGTTTTATAATACCTTGTCTTTCGCTTTGCTCTTTATCTTTTGAGTTACACTTATCTCCATGCTATCACTTGCCTCACTGTACCTTTGAACATCTCCAGGCCCTTCAGAAGCCAACCTGGTTCCAGTACCCAATGTTTCTTCTTCTTAGTGAAGAAGATTTGGATAGAAAAAAAATCTGTATTCCAACAGAGATAAAGAAAAGCATATGATATGTTTTAAAACAAATAAAATATTGCTTTATTTTATAAAAATAGAGTTTGAATTATATTCTGCAAATCAGAAAGATTTATGCATATTAATGTCACTGAAGACTGACTAGGAGTAATGCATTACAAAAATATCAGTAATAGATATTATCATATTTTCAAAACCCATGATTTTATGAATTTTTAAAATTGCACATACTTATTTAGTAGAAGCACAAAGGTATAAATGATTTTAAAGTAAAAAGATATCATTTTCTCATAAAAAATGTGAGTTAAGTTATGCTAATGTGCTAAGAATTTCAAAAATATTAAAAGATAGGGACTAAATGTCTTGCTTTTAAGAAAATTTTGAGACAAAAGTGGAAAAAAAGTAATGTGAAAATGTGGAAAAACCATTGATAACATAAGCAGAGTCTATACATTAGGGATACAAAGTTTATGGTTAAGGGCTCTGCGGATCAGGGCAAAGTGAGATTATATTTAATCTGGAATCTGATCAAAGAAGAGTGAATTAATTTGACTTAGATATTGACCAACAGGTGAGGCACATTTCTAGAAAATATGTGATGCCAAGATAAGAAATTATAAATGTTTTTTTGCAAAACAGCAAACTTCCCACTTTGGTTATAGTCCAGTTTGCAACATTTGTGATAATGGTGGAAAGGAAATCCAGAAATTTGGTGCAGAAGAAGGGATGCAATCCGAGTATAAGGAGTCTATATTTGATTTAATCTATAAAGACTGGAGGTTTCAGAGCAGAGAAATGAGTGGCTCATATACATAAAAGATTAGCCTGACAGTGCTATGGTAAACGGAACTTAGAGAAAGCAGACTAAAGTCTGCAAGGCAAACTGAGGGGTACAGTCCATGTAAGAGGAATTAAGTTAGGGAGGTTGGTATGAGAGAGAAGCAAGGCTTTGATGTGAGATGCATGACCAAGTGTTTGGTGACTGGATTTGCAGAGCACAGAATGAAAAGATTTAAGATGGGACTAAAGTTTGACAGTCCAAATGGCTTGAAAGATTACAGACAGACTTTAAAAGATAAAGGGTTTAGTGATAGAAAACAATGATTTAATTACAGAGCTTACATATAGTGCCAGGGGATATCATGTATCTTTTAAGAAAATGGAGTTTATAGAAAGAACTTTGAGCTAAACTGTACAGAATTAAAGTATGAAATGAAAGGAAGTGAATAAATTCAGAGATGGAGGAAGGAAAGTCAATAGCTCAGTTAATGGTTCAATGCTAAAGAAGCCCAGAGAAGAAAGTCAGGATGTGTGCCTTTTAGTAGCATAAAAATGTACCACCAACAGCTCAAAACAAAAAGAATGATGATCATTGTTATTGATAACTTTCCAGAAAACAATTCTGGCAAAGAAGTGAAGACCAAACCACACTAATTATGTAGAAATCCCCGGAGGAAAAAAAATGATAATAAAAAGTAGAGAGCAAAGCAGAGTAAGAAATATGAACAGGGAAAAAATAAGAACCAAGATGCATTATGTAAAGGTACAATTCCCAATGAGAAATGTAATTGTGTTGTATACCTACAATGTACCAATAAAAGAATTTAATACAAAAAAAAGGAAATATGAACAGTAAAGAGCATGTTCTTTTGTCCTAGGAGTGATCTGAATATATTAGTGGGCAGTAGGAAGATCTCGGGGGAGGGATGAAAAGAAAATGAAAGGCAAGGACGCAGTTTTTTTTATGTAGAAAAGTGTTTTAGAGGCAATAAGAAATTAATTTCTCATAGTAGGTAGGCATTTCCTGATTAGGGTCCTTGAAATAATTGGAGAACATGAAGATGGGAAGGAGAGAGGAAACCAAAAAAATGTAAACATCAGTAAAAATATGAAGCAAAGTTTTATTAAGCATAAGAGAGTGGATAATTGGGAAGATATGGACAATGAGACCACAAGAAGGAATTTTTGAATGGCAGGGATACATAAAGTAGAATAGGCAGAGGATCATAATTAGAAAAACAATTTCCTGGTACTCTATTTTTAACAAAATTAAAAACCATTTTATGAGTGAAATGTAATGAAGAATAAAGGCAAAAGAGATATCTTAACATTTAGTTCTGATTTTTCTTTTGAATAGTGTCATAACAGGGAGTAGAGGATTTCCCATGAAAAAGGAAGACAAATAATGACAATGTATCACAGAAATTTGGGGCAATAAATCTTACCTCTCTCAGTGGATCATTAAGTTCATTGAGAATATTTTCCTCATCGAAGATTTTGCCTTGGTATCTGTGTTCATAATAATCATGTATCTTCTGACGCATGTCAGCTGGTAACTTATGGAAGGACATGTATTGCTCCACTTGCTTATACTGTATGTGAAAGAAATTGAAAATTAAAAAACATTGTTAAGCTGTAAGAGAACTCATTACACTATATTGTTGTGTTATGTTCAGTAACATTTGAACATTCAATAACAAAAAGTAGAAATTATTTAAGAGGAAGGAACCAATGTACTAGGTTCTAATGTATCTACTCAGTGCTATATAATGTATAAGGTATTTTACATATATAATATATCCTGTAAAGAACTGAGATGTGGAAAGGAGATATGAAAAGAATTCAGAGTAAATTTAAGATTATAACTCCAAAGGTGCTAAAGGAAAAACAATAGGATGTTATTTCTTTTTTAGTAGTATTGTAAAAGCAATATGAATTTCTTGCTGGCTCTTCATTTGAAGAAAGAATCTTGCAACATTGAATAGCACAAAAAGCTTATTTTAAAACCTCTAGCAAAAGATTAAACATCATTACATTTTGAATATAGAGGGAGAGAGTTTGACTGCTATTTGAAAATCATAAGTACTTAAGCAAAATAGATGTCCTGTAAAGCACTGAGAACCAAGAATATATATGAGGATTTTAATTTAGGATTTACAAGAGTAACAGGATGAGATTAGATCCATATAATTTTATAACAGCAGGTTTAGCAAGATGTTGAAGTGAAATTAAGCAACCAATTCTTAAATGTGATGGTTTATAAGACCTGCAGAAGAGGTTGCTTTTGGGCAAGGCAGTTCTTCAGACTTAATAACCACAGACCAATTCCATTGATGCATCCACCTTTTTATATGTTCACAAACACACACACACACACACACACAATTTAAGAAAGTAACATCCCAGCTAACCAAGCAGGAGTGTAGTAGCATGGATATTATCTAGAAGCCTATCTCAAGAGAAAAATGTCAGACCTCTTTCCAAACACATGAAATCAGAATGTACATGTTAAATAAATCCCCAGATGGGTCATACACACTATCAAATTTAAGAACAATTCCTTTAGTGTTTTTAATGCAGATGATCATTAGATCATAATTTGAAAACAATGAATTTTATCTTAAAAACTAGTTTGATTGCACTAATAATAGAATTTAGTACAATTAAAAAGTCGACAATAAAACTGGTAAATACACTTTAAGGATTCATTCTTTAAGTAAAACACAATTGACACATTAAATATAAGAAAGATATCAAATTTCTTCCTGGTAACAGAGCTCTGATACAAAGAGCTAGGTCTCTTGACTTTGTTCACAATCATTGTTTTTTGTAATTGATAAAATATAACAGACATTGATAACTGAGAAATGAGAATCACCAACCTACTGTATTATATTTTTTCAGTCTTTTTCTATAGTCCTTACATATAAAATTCATATTGTTTTGAAATTTCTTTTTGGAGAGTAGTGTCCTCAAAAGAAATACTACTTTGTCACAAGATTGTCTTTATATGTAAGCCTACTGTCTTTCAAAGTATATAAAACCTGCAGCCCTATGACATCTTCCTGAAGCAATTTAATTATGATACAATATTTTGAATTTAGGCTTCAGTCCATCACTGTCATTAAATTTAAGTGGTAGTAAATACCTAAGATTTGATCATTTTCCCTGCAAAATATGGATGCTCACTTAAACACAATGTGTTTTGGAAGCCCACTTCTAAGGATCTACAATTCAGGTCTTGGCAATGCATGGAATTGGCCCATATGAAAGAAGTTTTGGTGGCTCTCTCCTAAGGACTGCTATGAAGGATATAGTTGAGCTGTGGTTGGATCAGAAGAATTCTGTTTTTATTACTGGAAATGTCTGCATATCTGGTTGTTACTTTTGGTCAAAAGTGTACTGTTTATAATGTGAAACTTCTGTGGAGACCCTAATGTTAGCTTCTGCACTAATGAATTATAAATAGTTTTCCTGGTTTAATCAGTCTACCTTGATTAAAAATCCACTAATATCTTTGTTGGTGAGTTTCCCTGAAACCAGGAATCTCTGCACAGCTCTTGGCAGTTTATACCAGAGAATCAGCATGTTCCTATTGCCCAAATGTTGAGTCCATAGAGAGCACACCTTGGAAAGACTCCTAGACAGCCTATCCTTACATGTTTCATCTTTCTTTCACTCCCTTGTAGCCTTACTTTTAAATAAAAGCCTCATTTAAGTATACTCTGTGCAGTCCAAGATTCACTACTGCTTGGAGTAGTAAGACTCTGCAGCTTTAACTGAGAAACTACACTTTACATTTCTCCATCCTTCTGGTATTCATTCTAGAGCAATATGAAAACCTAGTATTTTATTCACTTGGAGGAAATTGCTGCTTTTGTACAAAGACTTACTCATATAGGGAACATGTAATCTGTGCTATCTCTTTAACTTCAGGGAAGGGAAATCAGTCCTTGATTTACTGAGTACAAATATTACATATGAAGCTATTTTATTTTCATAGAAAATCATCATTGTGTGAATCTAGTTGTTTTTCTTTACACAAATCATTTCATCTTAATTTAATAATCTACAATACGAGAGCATTAGGTTAACTGATGTTCCTTACTCTTTTAGATTAAAATTCCCTGAATATCTCTTGTTATTTACTCACATTTAGCTAAGTTTGATTTTTGAGGGGATATATTTTAATAACTCATTAATGCATAGTATTTATTGATCAAACAAATATAAGATGAGATTTCTGTGTGCCATGTTTTTTAAACCATTTCTACTCCCATATTGCCTGAAAACTTGTTGGAAATGTATGTTCACATTTCCACTCCAGAACTACTAAATCAAAAACTCTATATTTGGGAGCCAAGAGTCTGTGTCTTGTCAGGCCCTTTATACACTAAAATTGAAAATCACTGCTATAAGCCAAGGGCACAAGGAAGCATGTGTGACTGAGAGCAGGGGAAAATAAATTCAGTTTTTGGCAAGTTAAGCTTACAATGCTCATGGAATTTCTTCATGTTTATATGTAGGTCAGGCACTCAGAGAAAGAAATACACACAATACTAATGACTGCAGGTGCACTAAGGGATGCTGTGCCACTGGGCGAGTAAGGGAAAGGTAAGCCTGGCAATTTAAAGGCAGTTGAGCTGGAAATTAAGAGGTTAAGGGTAATGATAATAACCATCAGGAAGCGAGAGCAGAACCAGAAAAATATGAATATCAGAACCCAAAATTTCAAAAGGGAAGTGGTCAGAAGCTGTATATTTTAAGAAAACCAAAAGGTTCTGGACAGTGGCCATGCATTTGGAAATAAGGTAGTAAACTGTGTTAGGATACAACACTTAAGAAAACCCAGAGCTATTTTTTTCTGTTTCCCTCACACTTAACAAGACTTGCAAAAACTAAACGGAAGTATGACTCCATGTGATATAAAAAGTAAAATAAAATCTGCTCTTTTAAGGAGACACCTAGTAGTAGACAGAAAATCAATTAAACCAAATGCTAGAAGTCATAGAACAGCTGGCAGTAAAAAACAGCAATGTTTCTATTTGTTGTAGTAATACAGCACATCAAAGAATTACTTGATAAATCTAATAGTCACTAATAAATACATATTTTTGAAAAGCAAAGATGCAAATACCACTCTTTCTTAAATATGTAAGATCAAAAGTTCATGCCATCAGAGATAGAGACTATAGAATAATCACCACTTAAATTCTAATATATTTCTTTATTTAAATTTTTCTGCATAACTAAAATAATACATTAAAATAATACACACACTATTAAAATGTGATCTAAGAAAGGGGTTAATAATGAATGGTAATAGTTCATTATCAAATACATTGATCTTTCTCCTTCCATGTTAAAAGTATTTTGTCTAAATCACTACAGAAAATGCTTCCGTTTCTACTTTGTAAAAAAAATTAATTTTATTGGTATAATTTAAATATACATAATGATCACATTCATCAAAAGGAATTTGTACCATACATGATATATCTTGATTCCTCTTTTTCTCCCTATCCCCTGCCCTCCCTTTAATCCCTCCTCTTTCCCTTACTTATAAAAGCTTTGTTTCCAATTTTTCTTTCCTTTCTCCTTTTCTTCCCTTTTCCTTTCCTTTCTGCCTCCCCCTTCAGTTTCCCTTTCCTTTTATACAATTTTGTTCTTATTTACTCTTTCAGTTTCTTTCGTTTTTTGTATTAAATTCTTTATTGGTACATTGTAGGTATACCACACAACTACATTTCTCATTGGGAATTGTACCTTTACATAATGCATCTTGGTTCTTATCTTTTCCCCATTCCTAGCCCTCCCTTCACCCCCTCCACCCTTCCCTGTTTACAAAGACTTTATTTCCATTTTTTCCATTTCTCATCATT